GGGAACGCTCAGCGGGAGGCGGTGGAGACCAATTTTGCTCGTGATTGTGTGTGTGTGTGCGCGAGTTCCTGAAAAAGCTCTTTCTGTGAGCAACCCTGTGTCAGCGCACACGTTAGACCGCTAAGGAGGGTTGGCGGTGAAATATGGCAGTATTTGTTTTAGGTCTTGTTGCTAACCTTTCACCTCGAACGAGGAAAACAGATGCCCACCCGCTCCCCTCGCCTTGCTTGTGATTTCAGGCTAGACTTGATGATCCGCCGGTTTAGTTCCCTCCTCTTGAGGGCAGTCCAAATGGCTTCCCTCTGATTTCCCATGAACAGATGTTGTAGCTTCGACAATTTGCTTTGTCTGAGTTCTACGTAGAAGTTGTAGGTCCTTCCAACGGTTCAAATTCCATCTGATGATTGGACTATAATGATAATTAGGCGGCCCTCATGTTGCAGCCAAGAGCCTAAACAAAGCCAATAGTCTAAAACAAGTTTAGTGCAACATCTACCCATTCCGTGTTCATACGGCCCCCCGGCAATTTTTGTCAGACACTTATTTCTCTACATAGGAATTGGACCCGTACAATGGTCTGCTTCCGTTTGGCGTCCCGTTTGCGAAGCTGTCGCTGTCCTCTCGAGGTACCTATGGCCTTTGCGGGGGACGCTTTGTTCCCCATGGGCTGCGGGCGCGTCTTTACGGGCGACTTTGTGCGGATGCAGGCAAGTCCAACAGGTGGCGCCTTTCCCTTTTTTGTTGAGGAGGTTTCTCTTTAGAATCAAGCACCAAAAAAAGGAACCCTTCTTGCCAATCCCTGGAGGTCTGGGAACAAAACATGCCAGGAACCGTTGAGGGGATGAAGATCAAGTCGCAGATTTGCGGTGTGAAAGCTCGTCCGTTGATGTTCCCCAAGCCAGGTTCGGTCAACATTTCCTGGCGCGTCTATGGTCCTTTTGAGAGGAGCATTGTGGAGTCAAAGCGCTCTGGCCCACGAAAACCAGGGAGGACTCACTAGGATTCTCATTCCCAGTGGAGGAACCGAAAGTTGCGACCATGATCCAGACACTTCTCAAGCCTTTGCTGTGGGCCTCTGAGTGACGGGCTTGCTGGAATCTCCCTGTTCACAGGAGGGCTGATGGAATCTGTGCAATCAACCGTGGTCTGTTTCAAAGATATACGAGGAGCCAAGAGAGGGTTGCTTCACCACAGTGTGTGGATCATTTGTTTCTTGGCTTCCTGTTTCCGGGAATCCCGCTGTCACAAGGCTGAGTGGAAGGTACTGGATGGACATCGTCCCCTTTCCTGATCTAATGGGGGCGGTTGTGGCTCAGTACCGCTGTGAGCGATCACAGGAGGAAGCGCCAATAGGGCAGCTTTGCATTTCGAGGATGTCACGCTGTCTTGCCCTGATGCCGGCCAGCCTTGGGCAATCATGGTCCTTGGTTGGTGCGGGTGGCGGGCCTGACTAGGGTGCCTTGCTGTCCCAGCCCATCACTTCAGGAAAGAGGGGCGCCGGCATGTTGAACTCCAACCGGAGTCACCCCGATGATGCTAGCGGAGGGATGACGACGATGGCGGGAGGGACCATGCCGTAAGGCCGTGAACCCCAGGTCGCCATTCATTCCGGGAATCCCGCGTCCCATTCGCGGCGCAACAGCAGACCATCCCATTTTGAAGATCTCGGAACAATGGTGTCATGAACCAGGCCCTAGAGAATACCGTTTTGAAGGGAATGAGCAGGAAGTTGTTGAAAGAAGGGGTGTTAAAACATGTAACAAGGGCCAGCTCTCTCCAGCGAGGCCTCTCTGCAGAAGCTCCGCGATTTGCCAGATGAGACTGTGGTGCTTGAGCCTTGGATCTCCTTGGAAGGCTTCTTTTGAGTGACAGCTTCATGGGCAGTTCAAGGGTTGTCCATGGAACTGTCAGTTTCCATGCGAATTTGGGGCTGCAAAGGGCTTGGTTTCCACCTTTCTTTACATGACTCAGGTCCATGCTGTTCATGCAAACATCTCGCTTGAGCCTTTACTTTGTGTCTCCTGAGCCCTCGCTTGAGTTGCCGCCCGGACGCTCAGCTCAGGTTTTGCTCCCACGAATACACCAAGGCAAACGTGGATTTTGCGGTGAAGGCCTGATGTTTGGATCTCGTCAAGCTGGCTGCATGTGTATTCTATTTATAGTTGTTGGCCCGGGAAACCCATTTCAGAGATATGAAAAGTCAGAATGTGGTAATTTCAGGTGGAACTGGTTGGATTGTGCAAACGTATGCAGTATGTATTTGTTTTGTATATTTAAAATTAGAATACCATAATATATACATATATACACACATATGTATACATGATATATATATATATATATATACACTATATATATATACACACATCTATGACATCCTCTGTTTTGAGAATCAAGCGGCTTCCGCGTCATTGCCCGGCAGGTGGAGCCCGGCAACGCGGCGCTGCTGGCGCGCCAGGCTGAGGCCTTTAAGAAAACTGGCTATGAACTTTGATAGGGAACCGCCTCGGGAACCGCCTCCAAAGCGGTTGGACTTTTGGAATCCCGATATTTTGAGGTCCAAAGGGTCAAGTTCACACCCAAATAAATCTGATGGTGCAAGTATGGCAAATACACCTGGTTTGGTCGTTATAAACTTGCCCAGATGCAAGTCCTTGGGGGGCAAGACTACTTTACGCTGCCAACGTACTTTGGAATGCTGTCCACAAGCAAGTTTACTCTTGACGTTCCTTTTTCACGTTGACTAAGCCCCTTCTCTTACGGATGTCAATGCAAACAATCATAAGGAGGCGAGGTCAAAAGGCATTGGCTGCCGGTGCTCCGAAATCACCTGCCAAATTGCCTTGTTTGTATGGCGCGCACAACAGCGTAATCGAAGCAACTAGCAAAGGAAACGCGTTGGGAATGAACACCCCCATCCCTTTGAGGAGTTTATTTGGGTGGGGTATTCATTTGTGGCATTGTTCCCCTAGGTTTTGGGAAGACTGGATGGAGCTTCGGATCGGACTTTTCGCTGTGACTCGTCAAAGTGTCTGGAAGGGGTGTCAACCCAAAGCCCCTGGGCTTCTGAGTCAAAACGCCCGTGCACACTCCAAGAAGCGCCCCTGAGTGGCTCGCAGTGGTTCGAAAATAGATGCTTGGCGTTGCAGGGTATGCCTGAGAGGTATTGTTGGGGTTGTATGCCGGTGCGTCAATGCAAGTCGTTTGCCGCGTTAGGGTTTGCCTTTGGGGGGTTGATTGTCAGGGAATTAAGGGAAGACGCAACCCATTCGGGGTCTGTGTCAAAATAGAGATCGCCCAAACAATGGTAGTGTTCCATTTGGTGCCCCTTCGAACCCTCAAAAAAATCAGGGGACCCTAAACTGGTTCTAGAAAACGGGGTCCATGCCAATGTAGGTTGCACCAAATGACAAGCAGGTGCGTAGCATCCTAGAACCCAGCTGATACAACCCATAAAAAGTTAGTCCAACTCACACAGACACGAAGCAGCGGAGGTGCAAAAGTTGCGCTCGGCGGATGAGCCCACAGTGCCTACCATCTTGGGCAACGAGAAGGCGTGGGTGTTGGGCGCGTCTTTGTGGCCCCCAATTGCTGCTTTAGCACAACATAAAAGAACAAAGAAACTCAGATTCGCCTACTAAGAGGAATCAAATGCTGGGTCCTCCAACAGCTATCAAATGGTTTGCGACCTTGAGTGTAGTTTTGGGGCCATATGACAGTCTTAGGGGGGGTGGAGGAGATGGTTCAAAGAGTTGCTTCAAGGTCCGCATTTTTAAGGGCCCCTTCGTTCTCGTTGAATCGGCAGGCGACCAACCCCTTCCTGCGGTGGGACGCCCCGGAGGTGCAGCAGGAGAGATGCCCTCGCGGCTCGCGGCTCGCGCGGTTGAATAGAGGTCGAGGCATGTCTCAAAGGGAGGAAGTGAGTCTCCAGATTTGCTTGGTTTTTCATGTTCTCCATTGGCTTTGAAGTGAATTTCCAGATTGCTTGGTTTTACGGTTTCCTCTTGGCTTTGATCTAACGTTGAAACCAACCCAGAAGTCCCCCCCCCCAAAAAAAAAGAAAATGAAGGAAGGAAACAGCAAGAAGCCACCAACCTGATTGGAGTGTTTTTACTTTCATTGTTGACAGAACATGGCAGAACAAACTTCGTTGCCAGTTCTGATCCCTCAAACCATTGCAAACCGTTGCAACCCCTTTTGGGTATTCCCTCTTTCCCTTCAAGATCACACCCAAAAGTCTTATGCCTCGCATGTTGCCCCAGGCAGTCGGTATGACAGAAGCCGCTGCCGTGTTCACGGCGGTGAGGAAGTGGAAGGAGTGCGGGACTGGCGCCGGAAGCAGCTGGTTCCATGTTTGAAATTGAGAACCGCTGGTCGGGCGTCTAAGGCCTAAATGAAGGCAGTTCACTTGGCACTCTGCACTTTCCACGACACGATGCGTTCGTTCCCGCACCAGGACACCGGCCATAGACCACAAGCCAAGCTGTGAGCTGGGCTCTGCCAATACTTCTGCCCGAATCGCAACGATGAAACCTCTTGAGATGTCTTGCCTTCCCACGCTTGCTTCCGGAAAGTTTGCTTCCCACGATTAAACCTCTTGAAGTGTGCTTCATGTTTGTCGTTTCATTCGATAAGGCACCTGAAGGGCGATCACCTTGCATTTCCTTCGGGCAAGTGCGGCTTGGTTGCCGGCGAAGAACCCGCAGACGAAAATCGGGGCTGGCAGCTGCGCTCGCTGCACTTGGCCTTTGGGCGCTAGTGAATGCGCACTTCAAGCATGTGGGCATCTCCAGGCATGGGCAGCCCTTTTTCTGGCCTCTTATTGAAGGGAAACAAGGATAAACCGCACGTTTGAGGGCTTGCTGTGTTTTTTATTTAAAAGCCAGCTCCGCATGTCCCCCTGGTTTTGGACTTTGGGATGTTCCTTTGTGAGAAGACCCTTTGAGTGAGAAGTGGCGGGGACCTTTTCTGGAGAATCCAGTTTCAGCACTTGAAGTGAGGACCTGGTGAGCCTTACAGAGCTGGAAGTTCTGGTGGAAAAGCTTGATGCCACAAAGAATGGCCGGGGCCCCAGGTCAAAGGCTTGGATAGGCAGCAGCGTGGATCAGTCGGGGGCGGCAGTATTTCCCAAAGGGAAGCTTTGGCTGTTCAGGGGTTCTGCAAGGGTGAGACCTCGCTGGCTAGAAGACTCTTTGATAAAGTGGCATTCCTGTTTGCAGGAGGGTACCGTTTGTTGATTGTCCTTTTTTGTGGGTGCGTTCCTTCTTCCATCGGGGCACAACCCGAATATCATGATGCATCACATTAAGTTGCCTTGGCGAGGCATGTGTGCAACAGAATAACCTAAGATGCTGAGCATATCATGATGGGCGTCTGCCATCATGTTTGGTGATATACTGACGGGTGACTTGCCCTGAAGTCACTGCACTCGCCCTGAAGTAGTATCGCTTTGTCTCCAAATGGGGGGATTCCAAAAAATGCGCCTTTGCCCCTCAAAGAAACCCCAAAACAGGTACCCTTCCAAGAGCATACTTCTGTTTCAGGCTGATCCTAGGATTTTGCAGTGGCATGCCAAAGGGTAGACCTTGGCACGGTGCCCAGGTGCTGTGGACTACACCTTGTTCGTTGCAGCTTTGCTTCCGATGGAAGTGTACCCCTTGCAGTCAGCAGTTTTTGTGTGTCTCCTTGTGCATGTGGGGTTGCAGCTGCAACGCAGGGAGGGGCATAGCGAATTTTCCAAGCGGGTTGTGGAAAAGTCTAGAGCCCGGCTGTTGGACCTTGTTGAACGCCAGCAAGCAAGCAACTTATTTGAAGGCATCCAGCTTTACGGCGGCCAAAACTGAGAACCTGGCCTAGGAGGGGCCTGACAAATCTTTGATACCCTTGCGTATCATCTCTGGTGCACTGTTGGCACAAAGCCATGTGCCCGTCCATTGGAAGCTTGAGCCGGAGCCGATGAGAGTACAGCACTTGATTGCCGGCCACAAAGCAAGAGCCAAACCTTGCAACCTGAGACTGCCCAGCCGATGAAATGTAGCACAGCCTGCATTTGCAAACCCAGCCACCCCTGTTGCATAGAGCCGTTCTGTGCAGATGTCGGCCATGGCCCTGTGCTGATCTTCGCTGAAGCCTCCTGTGCGTGGCTTGGCGATGGGCGGATTCATCAACCGATTCAAGCGCCCGAACCCCGCGAAAGGGCCATTTTTGGCATTTGGAAAGCTTACAGAAAAGGCTGCTTTGAAGCTTTATAATGTATCAGAACCATGTTGTCAGATCAGATGATTGTTTCCCTTCCTGTCTCTTTTTGGTTTCCCCCCCAAAAAAAGGGTGCCCCCAATACCGGATGAGAAACAGCTAAGGATGCTACGCAGAGCAGCACGGCTCTCCGTGAGGACAGATTCCGCTTTTTATTTGTTCGGCAGCGGACGCAATGGTTACCTTGGTTTGAAATGGCAATGGATTTTTAGGGACCCGACCCCCTCCAAAACTGTTGGTGGACGTCACCTCCCTTGTATTTAAATGGTCCCCGATTAGAATTCACAGCCAAATGGAAGTTTTTTGGGAGGACCTCCCACTTAGTGGATTGATTGAAAGCGAAACCAACAGGAAGCCAATCATTTGGCTTTGGAGGTTCTGTAATTTTATATGGGGAGGCCCCTGTTCATGGGGTTCATTTTTCTTTTCCAACCCATCCAAAGCGGGTGGCTCCCGATGATACAACCTCCTCATCTTGTGTCTGTTTGTAGAAACAGTTCGCACATCACCCCGAGTGGGTTCTGCTGTTTGCCACGACCACGGACCACTGCTACTTCTACTGGTGACACGGCAAGCGCGCCCGTGCTGACGCTACTTTGATTGCTGCTGCTGTTGCCGCTGACACTGTTTTTAGCGCTAGCAAAGGACTCGTCAGCGTCGGTGCTGGAATGTCCAAAGTCTGATGACTATTTTATTGTGTTCGGGATCTTCGGGCACTCGCTTTTGATACTCCCCCTTGAAATGTTTGGTTTGTCCTTTGCCCTGTAGGTCAGGGAAGCACATGGGTTGCCCAAGTGTCATAGGATTGTGTGGCCCGGGCGACCTTTCTCGAATTGCAAGACCCTGTCTCCTTTTGCCCAACGCCTTCGCCAGCTCCACCAAAGACTTTCAGTAACCAACCCATACTACTTGGGCTGTTCAGAGCCAAACCCTTCTCCTTCTCTTCAGACACAAAAGGGTTAGGGTTTGGTTTCCCTTCGCAGTGGAATCCAATCTTGAATTAAGAAAAGAAACTCCAAGGCGGGCCATCCTAAATAAGCCAAGGATAAGTCAAGCCAAGGATGAGCCCCTAAGGCCTTATTCGGCGTTCAACAGCTGATAGCCCCCATCAACATAGCCCCTCTTGGAGGTCCATGACATAGCGACTCGATGCAGGTTGCATGCTTTTAGAGCAGCCCCACGCCGAGACCTGACGATCGCCAAAGGCTCAGCTTTGGACAACAGGCATGCGCTTCAGTAATCCTAAATCCCGACATTCAGTGCCACAACGAGGAAGATCCTGCATGCTTTTTGGTTCACCACCTAGCCCCAGAAAGGTAGCTTGCACCTCACTCAGCTTGAGGCATGCGCAGATTGCCTCCGCCGAACGCCGGCAGCGTCTCGTTGGCTGCGCCCCGACGTGCGGCGAAGCTTCGCCACTGAGCGACCGCCCGAGTCGCCGTCGGGCGACCGGGAGCAACGAGAGCACCGGGAGCAGCGGGAGCACAAGGAAGTGGCGCGCCACGCGCCGTCCATTGCACAGATCTATGCCAAGAAGGGGACCAAGGTGGGCGGCGGGTTTCGTATGTATTGCTTTGTCTCGCAAGTGCTGGAGCCCAGATGTTTAGAATAAATATGAATAAATAGGAGGCATTCCATCAGACGCTCTGAGACAAACGCTTTGTGTAGTTCATTTGATTCTCGCAAACTGTTTGTGGCAACGGTGTTGATCCCTTCCAAAGTAGGCATGGTATTTGAAAGCCAGATCCGGTTTTGCCATCAGCTAGGCACATCATAGCGACACCGCAGGGCACAATCCCGTATGTTTGATTTGTGAAGTATTAAAACTACACTATTATGTATGTGTTCTTTTTGGATGATAGCCTTTTTGGGTTGCTTTGAGGGAAACCAAAAGGAAGCCAATATGTAAAGGTATGTGTCAAAACAGAGGGACCCCAACAATGACGGCTTTCCTTGTGCCCCTTCAAGCCAACCAGAAAATCGCAACAAATGCACACCCAGACCCGATGGCAGATGGTCTACAAGCTGTGCCTGAAGACCTTGGACTACGTGCGATGGTTCGTTCCGACCTCGGACGCGAATGTTATCCTTGAAATGCTTTTCCCCGCCAGAAAGCTTAGGGGTCTCCCAGATCGCCGGATTTGTTCGGAGCTGGCTAAAGTTCTGGGAAGGTTTCGGGTGTGGGGGATACAACCTGGGATTATTTCTGTGGTCTTCTCGGACAACTTGAGGTTCGGATTTGGGGTGAGTTCCAAATTGCAAGGTCTATGGCGACCCCCTTCTGTCACCTTTTGCTTTGCGTTTTCTTTGACTCTGAAGGGACTCAACAACCTCGGTGTCGTTCTTGCATGGAATAGGTTGAACATGGATCGATGGCAGGCAGAGCTTGTCCTGGGGTGTCCCGCAAAAGGCAGTCAAAAGGTAAACCCTAATGACTTAGTGAGCGAGCGGGCCTTTTCGCTCTCAGCCTCTGCGCGCAGGTGCCTTTGCAACTTGCGAAATGGGTCGGCGCTTTTCAGGGGCACATGGGCCTGCAGTTTCCAGCACGAATCCCCCATTGAGGACTCACTTGCCAAAATGAGGAATGCCATAAAACACAGTCCAGAGGGTTTCTTTGCGTATCCACACAGAATGCAGGCTAACTGTTTAGTTTGCTTGAGCCGTTTTCAGCTTCATTTAGGCATTGTATATATCTATATATTATACGTGTGAATATCTACATATTTGTTTTGTGTGTGTGTGTGTGTGTGTGTGTGTGTGTGTGTGTGTGTGTGTGTGTGTGTGTGTGTGTGTGTGTGTGTGTGTGTGTGTGTGTGTGTGTGTGTGTGTGTGTGTGTATGTGTGTGTGTGTGTGTGTGTGTGTGTGTGTGTGTGTGTGTGTGTGTGTGTGTGTGTGTGTGTGCGTGTCTACACATTGGTCCATCCAAATCACCAAGCGGGCTTTGGGTGCGGTTTTTGTTGCTTTTATCTCAGGTCCGCAAAGTGGGCGTTCTTTGCTGGGCCTTTGCAGGGCACTTACCGGACGGACGGGTGTGCTTTGGTGTGCCTTTGAGGGTACCGATCCGTTTTGGGGCTTAAAGAGAAACTTGAAGGACACCACCCATGTTTGAGACCCTCCCATTGCGATTCGATCTGTGGATGGATGAAATCCCATGAAAACTGGGACAAGCCACCCAACTGGTGTAGGATGTTGTCCATTCACAGTAGGTGTCCCCGTTTTGGGTCAGTGTGACTGAAGATAGATTGGCCCTAGATGTATGATTGGACTTTCATTTGGCAGTACCATCTATTAAGCAGGCTGACGCCTGATGCCGCCGACCCCCAATGTGCTTTTATTGTTGATGTTGTGTTAAATGTTGTTTTAAGAATTCGAGGTACGAGGTAAACATTATGATGATGGTTATTATTATTAATTGGCGAGATTCGCAAAAAGAGAAGAAAGAAGAAGACAGAAGTAACTCTAAGGTGTAATAAAAGATGGACTGGATCTCCTCGAAATCTTGGATCAAAGAAAAGAGTACCCGAATGAAGATCACCCAACATTAAAACAAGTGTCCAGATAAGATAGGCAACGAAAGCATCATCATCATCATCATCATCATCATCATCATCATCATCAGTGTCATCATCATCCTCATCAGCATCATCCTCACCATGCATCATCACCATCAGCATCATCATTCATCGGCATCAACATCATCATCATCATCGTCATCATCATCATCATCATCACCATCATCATCATCATCCATCCTCATCATCCATCATGGCCATCATCATCGGCATCATCCCCATCATCATCATGACCATCACCATCACCATCATCATCATCATCATCATCATCATCATCATCATCATCATCATCATCATCATCATCATCATCCATCACCATCATCATCATCATTCTCACCAACATCATCGTGATCATCACCATCATCATCCATCATCATCATCATGATCAGCATCATCCCCCTCATCATCATCATCATCATCATGATCAGCATCATCATCATCATCATCATCATCGGCATCATCATCATCGTCATCAATATCAGCATCATCATCATCATCATCATCATTATGATCATCATCATAATCATCATCATCATCATCACCATCACCATTCATCATCATCATCGTCATCATCATCATCATCATCATTATGATCATCATCATCGTCATCATCAATATCATCATCATCATCATTATCAGCACGAGTATCATCATCAACATCGTCATCATCACCATCATCATCATCATCATCATCATTCTCACCAGCATCATCGTGATCATGACCATCATCATCATCATCCTCATCATCATCGGCATCATCATCATCATCATCGTCATCATCATCATCATCCACCAGAGGTTAGGGTTAGAGGTGAGGGTTAG